CAGCCTGCACCCTCTCCAATCTGGGACCCCTCAAGGGATGTCCGACTGCCCATTTAGGCCCAATCCCATCAGGACTGCTGGCTTCCAACCACTCGCCTGCCTTCCTGCCTGATTGCCCCTAACCGCTTCTGCCTGCCAGCCTGATAGATGCCTAACTGCCCCCCTGCCAGCCCAGTTGCCCTAACTGCCCTCCCCTGCCGACCTGGTCACCCCCAACTGCCCTCCCTCCCCTGCAGGCCTGGTTCCCCCAACTGCCCTCCCTTTCAGGCCTGGTCCTTCCCAACTTCCCTCCCCTGCTGGCCATCTTGTGTCCACATGGGGGTGGCCATCTTGTGTGTTGGAGTGATGGTCAATTTGCATATTACCTATTTATTAGATAGGATTATTGTATTATTTTCTATATGAACAACTGTAAACCTACTTTTACCCACCCCTCTCTATGTGGTCTTAAGGGCTGGAAGGTAATTTGAAGCAGGACAAGTCAGCTATACCTTATGTTCAAGTTCGGATTTTGCTGTTCACTAGCTGTGTGACCATGGCAAGTTATCTAACTCTTCTAAACCTATTTTCTCAAACTTAAAATGTGGGTAATAAGGATATAAGCATAAAATAAGGTAATGTACCTAAAGTCCTAAGCATGGGGTCTAGCACATAGTAAGGTCTTCGTAAATGGAAGTGATTTTGTATCACTGTGATTATTGACTTGTTCTTGAATGGGGCATAACTGAACACAGGTCTTCTAATAAACAATAGAAAAATGAGGTACCGTAGAGTAAGCCATATGTTAGAAATCACATTATTTGGTTCATGTTACTCTGTATGTGCTCATTTCTCTTTGTTACCTCATCTTTAGGCAAGTCATAGAAGCACAGTAGTTAAGACTGCAGGCTCTATAGAGCACGATTGTTGTCTTAGTCACTTGGAATGAGCTGGATATTCAGTTTCCATGTTCCCATCCCTTCCAATATAATCAGCTCTGCTACTGATAACAGCTAACTTCTTCCTGGGTACCAAGCACTATTCTAAACACTTTACACAGCTATTAACTCTAAATCTCCCAGCCCTAGAGGGTGGTTATCAGTGTTGCCTCCATTTGTGCAGGTGAGAAAACTGAAGCACAGAGAGGTTCAGTAACTCGCTCTAGGATGACACTGTTGATCAGAGGTGGAGCTGGAATTCCATCCCAGGCAGCCTGGTTACACAGTGTGTACTGTTCATTTCATCCTAATTTCATTGGAGGCTGCAAGATTGAAATTAAATTGTCACAATTTACTATCCCCATCACTGCTTTTCAGTGATGGGGATAGTAAAAAGGTTGGATCGGTACCCTTCCCCAGCAGTTCCTCTGTGGTCAGTAATTTCTGCTGGGTGTACGGTTTTCACATCCTACTTCCAACCACCAGCCGTTCTGTTGCTTCATGACAGATTTGAAAAGCAGAGTGATCATATTCTCTTACCTCTAAATGTTAGTCATTAAAATACAAAACTTAACGCTTAGGTCCTTTGGTGCTTATGCCCAAAAAAGGAAGCATCATTTCTGTATTAAGATATCTAAGAAGTTCTCACATGCTTAGCAGGAAAGCTAAGCCCAGCACTGGGTAAATGCTGTCTGCCTCAGACACTGAGTAAGTGTGTATAAATAGAACAGTTGGTGTGCATGGCCTGAATGGTGCAGCTTCCCATTTTCCATGTAATGTAAATCGCCAATGCGAGCATTTCCATCTGACATAAACTGTCATTCGCAGAAGAGCACATTGTAGGATTCAGTACATGTTACACAACAACCAAGATTGCCCTTTTTTTCCAGCATGGTGATTTTTTTTTTCTTTCCATATCCAGCAGTTAGTGCTGAGGCCTGAAACCCATAGTTACAGAACAAAGTGGCTTAGCAGTAATCAAGCCTGTGTGAGGCTAAGGGAAGAATAATGAATGTTCCCTGCAAGCTTCCTGCCTAGATGCAGGTGCAGGAATCAGGGGGTCATGAATAATGCATGGCATGCAGATTAGGTGGTAGTTTCTCCTACTGGGGTTTTGACTTTGCTACCTGCCTGGCTGCTACATGTGGAAAGATGGTAGGCAATGGCAAAAGTGCCACAAAAAAGACTTTAAAGACTGACCTCACGAAAAACACTGCAGAGCCTTTTGAAGAAATAAAATTTGGGAGATAGCTGAATGTAAACCTTTATGGTGTACTTTATTAGGTGAAATAAGCTCCAGGTTATCCATTTACTAATTTGGGGAAGGGGAAAAAGCTTTCTTGTTTTACCATTTTCATTGAAGAAAGCTATAATTTGGGGAATTCTTTGAAGACTGTTAAACTGTTATAGAAATTACCTGCTTATAGTATTTGATGTATGGATGGGTCAGTGAAGTGTTACTGCAACATACAGATACCTAGAGCATATTATAATTAAAGGTCAAACAGGCCTGTTTTTCTCTGCTGATATATGTAATGAGAACCATCAATAAGAGAATATATTTACTAGTAAACTTCAACAGGTGGAATGATCATGATGAATAGAAATCCCAGGGTTAAGGAGGAAGCAATAAAAGAGATAAACTTTTCAAGGCTAGAGAGTGAATTAAATAACTGTATTTGGGCTATTACTTTTTAAAGCTTTATTTGGGCAGCATAACTCTGACACCCCAGTGGGGAAGAAGGGGAGGTTCAAAAGGATTTGTGGTGTTTCCCCTTAGGACGGGGCCTTTAACTGGGGAGACATTTTTTTGGCTCACAGTTCCATTTTGATGATTGTATTTCAAGCAGACAAACTGAAAGAAATAAAAAAGAAGGAAAAAAGAGAGTTTTGCCACCTTTCGAATACTTCCTATACGTTTCTATGGCATGTTTTTCCTCTCTCGTCAATTTGGGATGCTGGACTATGAACAGGCTTTCATTTCTAGCCCAGTCTGCCATTTCCGCTAGGCCCCAGTTTGGCGCAGCGCCAAGACCAACAGGTGATCCTTGTAGCTGCAGAACAGCAGGAAGTGGGCCTTGCTTGAATGAGACAGTTCACCAGAGGGGCTGTCTGGCCTCCCTCCATCTTTCTGCATAATTAACATCCCCTCCCCCATGCAGAGCAGAAAATCTGTGCTGAGCAGCTCAGCTGCAGCAGCCATTGAGAAGTGCTGTGAGGGAAAGAATGCTAATAAGGGAAGTTGGAAGAAATAAGCCTTCCGGGTGCAAAGTGCAGTCTGGCTCTGGCTGTCCTGAAAGACTGAAAGTTGGCCCTTCTGAGTGGCTAGACCTGTATTATCTATTTTGAAATGATTTCCACTTGCTAAACACTCATGGAAAACCAGGGTTCTGAGGAACCTTGCTACTTTTGGTTCTAACCGGACTTTGACAGGAGTTTAAAATCCCTGTGTTTTTTTGTGTGTTTTTTTCTGTCTTGTAAATAAGGGTCATGTCTGAAATGGACACAGGCAACAGGGGGTGGGGGAGGCAATGGAGGGATAAGGACACATATGTAATACCTTAATCAATAAAGAAAAAAAATAAATAAGAAATAACTAAAAATCTTTAAAAAAAAAAGAGTAATGTCTGAGACATAAAGAGTCAAGCTAAGACAAGCTAAAACACTGCCTAGACCTCACAAATCTAGTAACGTTAGAAGGAAGCAGGAAGTTGGCCAGGAGGAAGCAGGAAGTAGGGCATGTGGTGTTGCCAGTGAGGGACCCACAGAGAGGGGG